GGAAGTTTCTTTATCACTATAAGGGATTTTTGAAAGCTTTCCAAGGCCCAGGAGATATCTCTATCTAAAATACCTGCCTTGAGGACAGAGAGATAGTACAGTAGGTAGGAAATTTGCCTTACAAGTGGCAGACCCCAGTTCTATGCCAGCATCCCATATGATCCCATGAACATCACCAGGTATAATCCCCAAAACAAACAAACACCTGCCTTGCAAGCAAGAGGCCATTAATTTAATTCCCCATGGTACTGTATATGCCAAGTACAATCCCAGTAGCTCTCCTAGCTGAGTTCCCCAACACAGCCAATGATTTCTGGCTGTACCATAGGCAAGTATGTTTCCACTGCAACTAAAAGGACTTGACCCCTGGCAAACACATGTGTGAGCATTGCAGCAAGCCCTGATGAGCACTGCAAGCAAAATGTACAGAAGTTCTGGAACTAAAGAGTGCAAACCCTAGAAAGTAGAACACTGAGTGTGCAAGGACCAAAACTAAGCATCTGAGTGACGTCCCTGCATCACATCATCATGAAAAGTGGGAAGGAAAGGCATGAACAAAAGTGTGTGAGCCTCGCAATCATGGGTGTGGCCCCAATCACAAGACTCAAGGGAAGGGGAAAGAGAAAAAAATAATTTAAAAAAAGAAGGGAAAATTTATTTTAAGACTGTACTTATCAAACTAGGGAAAATGTATCATAATTTAAGATTATCTGCAGCAAAATGGCAATATATTCTTAGCTTTCTAATGCTTATATCCTTAGCTGAAACTCTAGAACTAAAACAAATGTGTCACAGGGTAAACTCAGCTGTCAGAATGGGGAAGCCAGACACTATTTCATCAATCTGTGTATCTTAAATCTTAAAAAAAATTCCAGAATTCATTTGTTAACTAACACTCTGTAGGAGGGGCCTAGAGCAATAGTATAGCAGGGTGAGGGCTTGCCTTGTACATGGTCAGCCCAGGTTCAATCCCCAGGACCCCATGTGGTGCCCCAAGCCCACCAGGAGTGATCCCTGAGCACAGAGTCAGAATAAGCCCTGAGCACCACTGGGTGTGGCCACAAAAACAAACAAAAACCCACTCTATAGGAAATAGAGCAGGGTCACAGAATAACTGTAAAGACCAAGTAGATTTACACATTGCTCTGAGATATGTGTCTTAAAACAGAAAAATATATAGCTGTGGGTTCTAAAAAGACACCCTGAACTTTGATGGGTTCTCATTGTTGATAGATATTTTGGGGATTTGGGTGGGGCCATACCCAGCTGTGCTCAAGGCTTACTCCTGCTCTGTGCTCAGGGGCCACTCCAGGGGCCATATGCGGTACCAAAGAATAAATTGGGGTTGGCCATTTGCAAGGCAAGAACCTTACCCCTGCACTATTCAGCCCGTTATTGTCCATAATTTTTCAGTTTACTTTTTTTCTTCTTTTTCTCGTGGCCTAGAAAAAAAGTACTGGTCTAAAGGAGAGATCCTGTATCTACTCAAAGTCTGGTTTCTAGATGACGATTTGCTGTAATTCCAACTGTTTCTTGTTCTATTTAAATGCCAAGTATAATCAAGACTAAAAAATGAAAAGAAAGAAAACATATTTTCCCAAACAACAGTTGTTACATTCTAAGATTTATTTCATATGTATAAATGGAAGCTGTGATTCTAAATATATTTATCCTCTTGTAATTTTGCAGTATGTTTTTCCCTCTGATGTGTCTATATCTGTTTCTGAAATAAACAGAGATTTGAATCCACTGCCAGAGTGTGATCTATATTTGAGAATTCATTTTAACTTGTGGTGCTTTTAAATTAGCCAGACCACAGAACTAACTATCTCAGAGTCCAAAAATAAAATAGTCCAGTGTTCCCTCTTCAACTCAGGTCTGGAGGAGAACTGGGACAAGTTTCTCAGCATTCAGCATAGCTCTGGCCAAGATTCACTGTTGAAGGTTGTGTGGAAATCTGGGAACTACTTGGCCCCCATGTGTCAACTCCTAAAATAGTCCAAGGCCCTGAGTTAGGTTCAAGGATCCCCTTACCGTGCCAACAGCAAGTTATTAAACTAATTTAATACCTTTAAAGCCAAAAGAGTAAATGACATACCTGAAGTAAAATTCTCCAGGACAACCTCCAACTTTTTTGCTACTAAAATCAAAGATAGAAATGCCTGCTTGCTTTGTCCCATTTTTGCCTTGTTTTATTGTGTTGGCCCCTCCCACTTAATTGTATCTATACCCTGCCAAACAATAAGTTGAATCGCCTAAAATTGGGGTTCACTTATTAGCTCTCTCTCTCTCTCTCTCTCTCTCTCTCTCTCTCTCTCTCTCTCTCTCCTTTTTCTCTCTTTGGGAAGATTCCAGGCCCATCTGGTCCAGCTTAAATCCAGCTTGTTGCATTTTGAGAACAATGAGCATTTTCTTCCCATTGTTGCACATGATGTAAACAGTATGATCCCTAGAGAATTCTTTGCTGATGCTTGCTCAGCAGAAAGCTCTTTAAGTGCCTCCTATCCTCTGGCCCTTCCAAGGGTTGATTTGGGGTTTTGATTTTGGAGGGGGGAGGGTCATTCCAGGTGGTGCTCAGGGCTTATTCCTGGTTCTGTGCTCAGGGATCACTCCTAGAAGGGCTACAGGGACCACATGAGGTACTGATGGGACAAATCAGTGTCTCACGGGTATCTCTATTTCTTTTTGGAAGGAAACAAGGTAGGAAAGAGGCCATGATGCCCTGGGAAAAGGCTGAGAAACACTGATCTAGCAGAATCCCAGGCCCAGCCCCTAATTGCTAAAAAAAGAATTTTCATGAGGTCCCTAAGTGTTTCCACAAGTACCTAAAATCTGAGAAGCGCTGACTTAGATCTAGGACTCTAGCATGTCAGAATGCCTGGGAAGATTTTTTTTTTTTTGCTTTTTGGATCACACCCAGCGATGCACAGGGGTTATTCCTAGCTTTGCACTCAGGAATTACTCCTGGCGGTGCTCAGGGAACCATATGGGATGCTGGGAATTGAACCTGGGTCGGCTGCGTGTATGGAAAATGCCCTACCCACTGTACTATCACTCCAGCCCCCTGAGTAGATTCTTGAAGGCAGGGCTCCACTTTCTCCACAACAGGTCTAGGTGGGGCTGAGAATATGCATTTTTAAAGATACCCCGGTGTGAAAGTAGACTATAGACCAAACATGATTGCCCTCTTTTGCAAACCACAACACCCAAAAGGAGAGAGAGAACAAAAGGGAATGCCCTGCCACAGAGGCAGGGTGGGATGGGGGGATGGGGGGTGGGAGGGATACTGGGACTGGTGGTGGTGGAGAATGGGCACTGGTGGAGGGATGGGTATTTGATCATTGTATAATTGAAACCCAAGCACAAAAATTTGTAAATCTACAACTGTACGTCATGGTGTTTCGCTAATAAAAATTAAAAAATAAAAAAAAAGATACCCTGGTGATCTCCCTAATGGGGGGCTGCTCCACAAACCCAGAATAAGGTGAAGTAGCCAAATCTATCTCTGTTTAGAAAACCGAGTGTCTGCAGACTACCAGAGTCAACGGAAAAGGAACAACAGTCAGCTGAAAGGCACAAAAGTGACGTCTTCAGGTCCATGCCTGCAAAGGTCAACAACTGCTCCACAGAACAGGACTGATCCCTGAAGCAGCAGGGATGCTCCATTCCATGGCCAGCTTGTAACTGCTTCAATAATAAGCTGGGCAGGGCCAGAGCAATAGTGCAGTGGGTAGGGCATTTGCCTTGCACACAGCCAACCTGGGTTCGATCCCTGGCATCCCATATGATCCCCCAAGCACCACCAGGAGGAATTCCTGAGTGCAGAGCCAGAAGCAATTCATTGCCAGGTGTGGAACCCAACAAACAAAAAAAGCTGGGTAAAAAGAGTTACACAAAGGGCCAAAGAGATAGTACAATGGGTAAGGTGTTTGTCTTGCATGTAGCCAACCTTCGTTCTATCCCTGGCACCACATTTGGTTTCCTGAGCACCATCTAGGAATGTTTCCTGAGCACAGAGTCAGGAGTAGGTCCTCAGCACTGAGAGAGGTAGCCTCAAAACAAGCCAGATAAAAGTCATCAGCTAGGGGGCCAGACAGACATTATAGCAGGTAGGGCACTCACTTTGCACACGCCCACCCTGGGTTTGATCCCCAACACCCCCATATGTCCCCTGAGCCCTGCCAGGAGTGATCCCTGAGCACTGAGCTAGGAGCATCTGAGCAAGGCTGGGTATTGCCCAAAAGCCAAGAAAAAAAAAGCAGCGATCATTCAGGGGTTAAGAAATTTGCCTTACCATTCTAGAGGAAAGGGCAGCTCAGACAGAGAAGGGAACACCAAATAAAGGGTGTTTGGAGGACCCTCCCAGGAGGGGAGATGCATGTCGAAAGTGGACTATGGACTGAACATGTTTGCCACTCAATGCCTCTTTTGCAGACCACAACACCCAAAAGGAGAGAGAGAACACAGGGGATTGCCCTGCCACAGAGGCAGGGGGGGATGGGGGGATGGGGGTGGGGGGGATATTATCCATGGTGGTGGAAAATGGGCACTGGTGGAGGGATGGGTATCTGATCATTGTATAATCAAACCCAAGCACAAAAAATTGTAAATCTACAACTGTACCTCATGGTGTTTCACTAATAAAAAAAAAAAAAGAAATTTGCCTTACAACATCTAACCGTGGTTCAATTTCTGGCCCTGGCATATGGTCCCCTTAGCACCACCAGAGGTCAGTCCTGATCACAGACCCAGGAATAACCTGTGAGTACCACTAGAAGAAGTCCTCAAACAAAACAAAACAAAACAAAAGCCACTTGCTGCAAAGTCAGTTCACAGAGTGAAGTTAAGAGCTAGAAAACGCAGGACAAAGAGACCTATTGAAAGCTAATCAGAGTGCTTATGCTTTACATATGAATTATGGAGGCATCCTTTAAAGTCATCAGAGGGACAGGTCACTCTTCCCAGGCATGTGCCCCCTCAAAACTGTGAGATTTTCTTACCAACACAGGAGGCTGGTCTGCCGCTCCAGGCCTTGTTGTCCATGCATGTGACTGTCCTCTCCCCTTTCAATGTGTATCCTGGTGAGCAATAGTACTCACAGCGGGAGTTAAAGTAGGCGCCATCAACACACTTAAATCCCCCATTCATTGGCATAGCAAGGGTAGGACATCGCTTTTCTGAAAAAAAAGAAGAAAACAGATACCCAGCATTTCTTAGTTCTTGTCCAAGGAGTTCCAGAGTACAGACACTTTTTTTCACCCTTGGCCCCAGAGTATAGAGAGTTGAAGGACAGAAATCAAGGGGGGGGATGTAAGAAGAGGCTGACAGGAAGTAATGGAGGGCAGAGGTTAAGAGCTTCAGGTACCTGGGTGGGAGAGAGGAGTGGTACAGCTACAGATCCAAACTGCAGAGTCAGCAACACTGAAAGCAGGAGATCCAAACGCAACAACCAAACTTAAAAATGCACCTGTCAAGGAGGCAGGCTGGTGGGGGGTGGGGGGTGGGAGGGAACCCAGAGACACTAGTGGAGGGGTTGGTGCTAGAACATAGTATGCCTAAAACTCAAATGTGAGTAAATCATGGTGTCTTAATTTAAAAAAAAAAGTTTGTTTGGTTTGGGGCGACACACAGTGATGTTCATGGGTTACTCCTAACTCTAACCATAGTAGAGCCCTACTAGTAGTAATAACCACAAGGCATTACTACCAGCAGTGCTTGGGGGAACCATATGGAATGCTCACTATTAAACCTGGGCTGGCCTCATGCAAGGCAAATGCCCTATCCACTGTACTATCTCTCTAGCTGCTTAATAAGATTTTTTTAATGTAAAAGAAGAAAGAAGAAGTAAAAGTTAATTTAATGTCCAATGATAGACAACTGGATAAACAAACTATGGTCTATATACAGAAATGAATACTAGTACCATTAAAAAATAAAATTGTGGACCAGAGAGATAGTACAGGGGGTAAGGTGCTTACTTTGCAATCCAGAGACCTCTGTTAGACCCCTTAGCACCTCAAAGGGGTGCCCCAATCACCACTAAGGGTCATTCCTGAGCACATAATCAGAAGAAGCAATCTCTGAACACTGCTGGATAAGCATGCCCTCCAAATAAACAAACAAATAAATAAATTCATGCCTCTTGGGACAAAGTGAAGAGAAATTGAGATGACTATGCTAAGTGAAATAAGGAAGTAAAAGACAATGGGCATCTTCCACGATGCCATTTACCAGTTCTGTGTACCCATCCCATCTGTGTACCCAGATGGTTTCACTTCTGTGGATGATGAGTTACTAAAACAAATGAATTGGCAAGAAACAAACAAACAAAAAAAACCTCCCTAGACTTAGTGAAAATCCCAGAAGGGTTCGGGGAGGGGGAGGAGTGAGGAAGAGCAGGGACTCTCTGGTGCTGGGATGGCACTGGAACTTTGGTAGGGGAAGTGGTGACAGGCACACACACACACACACACACACACACATATGCTCAGAGAACTGATGCTTACAGACCAAAAATTCCATCATATTGCACATGGAAAATATCATGCTAAGTGAAATGAGCCAGAAAGAGAGGGACAGACCTAGAATGACTGCACTCATTTGTGGAATATAAAATAATATAATGAGACTAACACCCAAGGACAGTAGAGACAAAGGCCAGAAAGATTGCTCCAGGGTTGGAGGCCTGCTTCATGGGCTGGGGGAGGAGGCAGCTGGGCTAGAAAAGCAATTACTAAGTCAATGATGGTTGGAGGGATCTCCTGAAATGGGAGATGTGTGCTGAAAGTCCTTAATAGGACAAAACATGATGGCCCCTTAGTTTCTGTATTGCAAACCATAATGCCCAAAAGTAGAGAGAGAATAAGAAGGAAATTGTCTGCCACAGAGGCAGAAGGTGGGGGTGGCGGGAGGGATACTGGGGACATTGGTGGTGGAGAATGTGCACTGCTAGAAGGATGGGTGTTCCATCAGTGTATGACTAAAACTCAATCATGAAAGCTTTGTAACTATATCTCACAGTGATTCAAAAAAAATTCCATCATGTTGTAAACCAATGATCAATGAAAATGGTTTTTTAGATGTAATCTAAATAGAATTAGAGGAACAATAGGCAGTTCCAGTATCACACTGAAGGGACTGGAAATTTCCTATCAGACTGGCTGGGGCTTTCTTCCTTCAAAGTCGACCCTGAGAAAATGTTCCCAAAGGATCGGCTGGGATGGGAGGTGCAGAGAAAGCAAAGTAGGACAGGATCCCAGGCAAAGGCAGCCTTAGCCGGCTCCTACAGTTCAGGCACTCTAGAGCGCAGCTTCTCAAACACTTGCAACCCCTTTTCACCTGGGAAATGCACCTCAGGCAAGTGCTGCCAGAAACATCTCAGTTTCCTGATGCAATTGAGTTTGAATTCACTTCCAATCATTGTGCACTCAGAAATCCTTTACTGTGGCCACATTTCCCATCACTCCCATGTTTAGTGTTAACACCCCAGATGAGGTTGCCACCTCCAGTTTAAGAAGCCATTTTCTATACTATAAACAATAGGTAAAAGATGAGAACAACCCAAATGCCCACGGACAGATGACTAGATAGAGAAACTATGGTACATACACACCATGGAATACTACTCAGCCTTAAGAAAAGACAAGGTCATGCAGTTTGCTGCAATGTGGATGGATCTGGAGAGCATCATGTTGAGTGACATCAGTCAGAGGGAGAGCAACAGAGTCAGAATGATGTCTCTCCTCTGTTGGAGATAAAGAAACTTCATAGGGGATCAAATGCTCCGAAGCAACAGAAACAAAGAGCAAGAGAAAGGGTCTTCAGTAGGAAGCCTGGCACTGGAGCAGGGTGACGGGCAAACATTTGAGAAGGGAAGACTTGGAAAAATGGGGGAGGGGGAAGGTGCCTGTCACAGAGGCAGGCTGGGGGTGGGGTGGATGGGAGGGAAACTGGGGACATTTGGGGACATTGGTAGAAGGTACTGGGCTCCGGTGAAGGGATTGTTGTTGGAACAATGGATGCTTAAAACTCAATCATAAATATCTTTGTAACTTTGAAATTCATGGTGATTCAATTAACAATTTCTTTTCTTTTTAAGAAGTCAGGCTGTAGAACAGAAATGTCTCCTAAGGTTGTTCTGCCTGCAGACAAGGCCGCTGGACTTTCATCAGCCTTTACCAGGCAGGCTGCCCAGAGGATGTTCTCTTTGTCAGAAGAGATTGTCCTCTGAGCAGGCGGGGGTAGAGCATGAAGAACAAAGCACCCAGAGACTGGGGGATGAGTACACAGAACTGGTTGCTGGGCGTTGTGTAAGATGAGGGTGAAGCACAGTGCCCATTACAGTTTTCCCATGTGCAAAGACAGGTTCAGTCCCTGAGCTTCCGGTCCACCAACAATGAAGCAAGAGTACCACCCCCCCTATGGAGAGGGTTGCTGCAAACACTGGAGGCAGATGAAATATTTGGCACAAGAAAGGTGTTTAGCAAATGGTGGCTGTTTTGAATAACAATGGCATTTAAAACCCTAGCACTTGCAGTTTCCCCAGAAGAGACAGGACATTTTGTGGAGCTAGCAGCTGGGGGTAAGGGGGGGGTGCCCAAAGACTCCTTTCAGTCCTCCCTCCTCTTCCCCCTCCCTTTCCTGGAATAAGCATCACTCTTCCCACTCCTTCCTGCCCTCAAAGCCTTTTGCCTTTGGGAGAACACTTAGGATTCATTATCACGAATGAGTCCATGGCTTTAAGTCATTATTTTTCCTTGCGGGGGAAGTGTAGTTTGGGCCACATTCAGATGGGCTCAAAGCTTACTTCCAGCTCTGTGTCTCTGTGCTCAAGGATCACTCCTGGTGGGTCTCAGTATTTGAAGTGGAATCTACAGTGTACAAAGTCAGCATCTTAGCGCCTGTTACTATAGTTCCGGCCCTTGAGTCAACCTTTGGCTCTTTTGAGAGACCCTTGATGGCAGAAGCTGCATGCTTCTCATTTGTTTCCAAATACCCAACATATTTGCAGAGGCCGAACACAGCCTGTGTGCCGAGCAATCCTCTGTTCTCTCTGCCTTTTCCGAACAGTTGATCACACCTGTCTGAAATGTGGCTTCTCTCTCCCACCGTCTCTTCGCAACCCACTAGACATTCTGCCCACCAGAGAATCTATGTTTCCTCAAAGATCACAGAACATTCCTTAAAACGCTTGGAAGTCGGGGCTGGAGAGATAGCACAGCGGGTAGGGCGTTTGCCTTGCATGCGACCGACCCAGGTTCGATTCCCAGCAACCCATATAGTCCCCTGAGCACTGCCAGGAGTAACCCCTGTGCATCGCCAGGTGTGACCCAAAAAGAAAAAAAAGAGCTTGGAAGTCAGAACACAAGACCTCTGGCTATCATTAACCAGAGGACCCCACGTGGGGCTGGGCTACTCACGTTTGCAGATGACCTTGTCCGACCACCTTTTGTTTGATTGGCAGATCAGCTGGGAAGAGCCCTGCAGCTCATAGCCCTTCCTGCAGCGAATGTCACAACGGGTTCCCAGGGCTGTTTTGTAGTATCCTCCTTGAGGGGCCCTGCAGTACACATCCCCATACTTCACCTTGATGGGTGAGCACCACGGAGTGTCTAGAGACAGCAGAAACAAGTGAGGGGGTGGGGTGGGGGGAGTGTCAATTTCAGCAACCACATCTCCTCACTCTTATAGTGCCTAGCTTGCGGCCCTTTCGATTTTGAAACTCCAAAGAGTACCCCAAGTCTTTTAAAGTACCCCTGTGTGAGGAGGTTACGATCATGGGACTAGATGTCAGGCATATCTTAATACGAATCTGGTACCTCAGTTGCTGTGTGCTAGTGAATAAGTTGCTTAAGCTCTCTGTTAAGGCCTATACATTTAGCACCCTACCCATCACACAGTAGATGTTCAATAAATGCTTGGCTTGGTATTTCTCTCAGTTAGATACCTGTTTCTCCCTAACTATTTTTCCTTCTCTTTATTGTTGTTGTTGGGGGTAATACAGGTTTACTGCTGTGCTCACACACCTGGGTTGTGGTGCTCTCCAGGAGACCACACTGTTTAGTTGCAAGGCTTGCACACACTTTGCTGAGTTTGCTAGAAATCTCACACGTGAAGTTCTAGGATCATATTTGACATGAGGGGAGGTGCCAGAGATTGAACTCATGGGCTCAATGAGTTCAAGGCAAGAGCTCTCTCACTGAGCCACAACCCAGAATGCTAGATAATAATTTTGTGAGGGGAAAATTGTTAATAATTTTTGTTGTTATTTTGGGGCTATACTTGGTGATACTCAGTGGTTACTCCTGGCTCTATACCCAGGAATCACTCCCGGCAGTGCTCAGGGACCATATGGGATGTGGGGGCTCTAACCTGGCCTTACCCGCTGTACTATCTCTCCATTCCCATCAAATTGGTGTTACTATGAGCCCTAACTCCAACCATCTATACATGGAAAGGGAAGAGAGTCAGTAATTGGTTAACAAGGGTATTTTCCAAGACTGTATGCATATGCATATTATCTGTAAAAATTCCTAATACTATCAAGCGGGGGGGTGCAAAAATACTATCATATTTTAGGTTTGAGGGTGAAGCCAGCAGTGCTATGGGTGGTGGTGCTCAAAGGACCATCTGGTACCAGGAATCAAACCCAAGCCTCCTACAGGCAAAGCATGCACTCCAGTACTTTGAGCTTTGTCACCTGGCCCTAATAATCTTAATGTGAATGGAGCTACAGTTTTCTCATTTTTTGATGGGATACAATTTTGGCTTAAAGTCACAGAACAATTATTTCCCTGAAGGGAAGTAATCTCCTTTGGCAGATGTTCCCAGTTATGCCCCATTTCATAAGGAAGTGACAACCCATACTGAATTAGCAACTCTCAGCTGGTTTTGATTTTAAGCTCAGAGTTCACCAGAGAGGATGCCACTAACACATCAGTGTCTCTGTGACTCTCTGTCTCTGTCTTTGTCTGTCTCTCTCTCTCCCTTTCAGATCCATAAAATTATAAGCTCTTTGGTGGGAAAGTTCCATGAGAATCCAGCACACTAGGGATTGGGCCAAGTGAAGAACTCCCTTAAGTCACAAGGCCACAAACGAAAGACACCTTCGCCCATAGCTGCCCACTCCTCTCAGCACCACCGCACCTGAGCTAGCAGAAAATGGGGTTCGTGTGCCATCCTGTGGCCAGGAAGGAGAACAGATCCTGTTTGATTTTCCTAGGAATTCTCTAGGCTTCTGTCAACTTGAAACCAACTATTCATCCAGGGCGACTATATCTCCCACTCTTTTTTTTTTTTTTACTTGTATGTCTTTTTCTCTTTGGGCTAATACTTTGATCATCTGATGCTCTGCACAGGCTGAAGTCCTAAAGTCAGGACTCAGGCAGCATTCCCAAGACTCTTCAGGTAAAGGTAATGCTCTGAGGGCTTGGCCTTAACTGCATCAATTTCAGCCACTCGGATATAGACTTATGCTTATACAAGACATACAAAGCATCTTTCCTTGAGGTTTTCACAGAGTGTATTTATTACCATTTTAGGATGAGAAAGATTTGGGCCCGGAGGTAAGGTACAAAACACATACATGTCTCCATTACTTACTTCTATGTCTAAAACAATTCTTGAACTGATTTTTAAATGTTTTAATCATTTCTTTAGCTATGGCTCCATGTAAGTCATGGAACTAGGTAAGTGAGAGGCCTTAGGTATGTTTGCTGAGAACTTTCATGATATTTCTCGTGTAATGAAGAGGTCTTAAGATATATTCTGGAGACACCAATGGCTGCCGCCTCTAAAATAAAATATTTAGAACCTACTGACTTATGTGACCGCTAAAATTACATATATATATTAAGAATTACACTAAAATTAAACTAAAATTACATATATATGTATATATATGTATATATAAAAAGAAAGGCAGGGAATATTCCCTGCCTTTCTTTTTTGTCATAGGAAAGATCACTTACATCACTTACAAGGACATTCCAAAATGCACTTGGTCTTTTTATGGGAAGGAGGGGGGCGCATCAGGCAGTGCTCAGGGCTTACTCCTGTTTCTGTGCTCAGGGATCACTCTGAGGATCACCAGAGATTGAATTAAGGTCAGCCACATGCAAGGCAAGCTTCCTACCTACCGTACAATCACTCTGGCCCCTGCACTTGTTTTTTTAAAATCAAAGACGTGCTTTTTTCTTTCCTCAAAAAAAGCATTTTTTACACTTTGTGAGGAGACTCTTAGAGTGTAAACGTTCACATTTTTCTATTGTGCTATCTCTTTACCATTTCCCCCCTTCAAGCATACTGCCTCAATTCCTCTAAGTCTCCACAATGGCCCCGTTCCCCTTCTAAACACAATGCTTCTGGCCATGCTCCATCTCTAGCCTTGTTCTCTTGCCAGGTGGGTCCCGTTTACTGAATCTTTTCCCATCATCTCACAGGCCAAATTGGCGCCTTTGACTGAGAACTGGGCTTCGCTCCAGAGAGAGCAAATAAAATCCCCTTTGGGGGTGGAGGACAGCGATGACCAGGAAGTGAATAGGATAATGAGAGGAAGATGAACAAATCGTGCGCCCATTCGAACTTTGACTAGCCTCTCCAACGGAGCCTGGTCAATTTCCCTTCCCTTCCCAGGAAACCAGATTTTTCACCTATATAACATAGCAGTGGATTACACTATATTCAGACTTTGATCTAACTTAAAAGTAGTATAATACCAATTCTTGTTCTTTTCCAAGTTCTGCTGCATCTCACATCCATACCTACCCCCTTGTTTCTTCTGGAGGATAACTTGGAAACTTAGAACAAGCTAAAGGCAATTTATTTTTGCAATCTGGGTCCTAATTATGCTTGAGCTTGTTGTTCCCTCAACTATTGAAAACATACAAACCCTGTAACATCTGGAATTTGGGGATTTTTTTTAAGCTTTAGGTAACACCTGGCAGTGCTCAAGACCTGGCTCGGTGCTGAGGGCCACTCCTGACAGTGCTCAGGGGACCGTATGTGATACCAGAATTCAATACCAGGATTGGCTGCAAAGCAATTTACCCCCTGCATGATCTCTTCAGTCCTGTAGCTTCTCGGATTTAGTATGAGTTTAGGAGAAACAAAATTTTAGAGTCAATTAATATGAAATATATACATACCTGAAATGTTTAGCACACACTGTAACATTCTTCTTTACAAATATACCCAAGGCAAAGCAAGTATTCAAAGCTTGTGAGGTCCAGAGAGATAGTACAGAGGGTAGGGCATTTGCCTTGCACAAAGCCAACCCAGGTTCGATCCCTGACACCCCACATGGTCCCCCAATCCAAGCCCATGAAGAGTGATCCTTGAGTACAGAGCCAGAAATAAGCCATTAGCACCACCAGTGTGGCCCCCAAATGAAACCAAACCAAAACATAAAGCTAGCAAGTGCACACAGAGAATAATCTGGGTTTGAGAGATAGTACAGTGGTTAGGGCACATGCCTAGAATGCACCTGACCCAGGTTTCATCCAGGCCCTAAACGTGCCCAGCACTGCTGGGGTGACTTGGGTATTCTTAGCACCATAAGGCCCAAGCAGCATCGCATTCTTGGTCCTTGCACTGAACTACCTACCTGTTTAGCTGAGAATCACCAGTGGGGCCCCCAGACCTCCTGAGTACTGCTTTGGAGGCCCCATCCACAAAAAAATAAGGAAAAAAAGAGAATCACCAGAATATACATATATCATATATTCATGTATTATTTTTTTTCTTTAACTATGGTAAATTGGGGCAGAGGGGAGAAGCAGGGAGAGGGAGGGCTATGAAATGAGACAGACAAAAACTAGCAAAATCGCCCTAACACATAAGGTTTGTCTGTGATTTCACAATTTTCTTCGATATCCATGTATTTCGGGCTGGAGCGATAGCACAGCAGGTAGGGCGTTTGCCTTGCATGCAGCCCATCTGGGTTCAATTCTTCCGTCCCTCTTGGAGAATCCGGCAAGCTACTGAGAGTATCCCGCCCGCACCGTAGAGCCTGGCAAGCTCCCCATGGCGTATTTGATATGACAAAAACAGTACAACAAGTGTCACAATGGAGACGTTACTGGTGCCCGCTGAAGCAAATTGATGAACAATGGGAGGACAGTGCTACAGTGCTACCCAGGTATTTCAATATGATGTTCAATCAGCAGATTTTGCTCTACCTTCTTAGTCTTTAATCATCCTAGCAGTATTGGCAGCACAGTCAAATGCTGGGTTGTCAATGTTTGGGCAAAAAATCTTGTTTTCATATAGTGAGGTAGCTCTGTGGAGTACAGACTTTGCATTGTGTAAGGCCCAAGGTGTGATCCTTGGTACCGTATGAGCATACACACATGGAAGCATGTGTACACACACACACACATGCTCAAATACCTTGTTTACACTTATTTGCAAAAGGAATTTCTTTTGGATTACTTTATAACACAAGTCTTTGAAATATATTTTAACAGTTTCACAGCCCAGCAGTAATTAAAATATCTGTGAGTGACTTGAATTTGAAGTGCATGCAAGAACCACGAGTTAAGGTGAATTAGCTAAGGTGAATAAGGTGAATTCATCGGTGTTTAGAGAAAGTATGCTCTTGTGTGTCTTTAATTAAGACAGGGCTTACTTGTGGAGAAATAGAAATCATTTACTCAGGAAAATTTTTCATCTTCCTTGGCTAATTTGGTAAGGATTCCCATTTATATAACAGGAGTTCCTGGGATTATATAACATATCCTTATGACGTCACTAGCAAAATCCAGATGGATATTGAGTTAAAGCATCTGGATTTCAGGCTTAAATGTAAAGTTTGTTAGCTGTATGACTCTAGGTAAGTCACCTATCCTCTCTAATCTGTGGTTTATTCACCTGTAAATAAGTACTAACATCATCTCTAATTTTTCCCCTTTATTCAAATTGTGTGAAGATATGATGGCATTCCAAGTAAAACAGTCATTCCAAAGTCATGCCCGCCACATACTGTCAACACAGTGAATGTTGTTCGAATTTAATTTTCCTCTTTGTCTTATATTAATTTCATTCAAAACCACTTATTTGGTATGTACCGTATACCAGAGACTGTGTTTGAACCTGAGGATATAAAATTAAATTCTGTTATCCATGATTGGCCTCTCAAATTTTAAATGAAAAACTGATAATAGGGGCTGGAGAGATAGTACAGGAATTAAGGCACTTGCCTTGCACACAGCTGATGCTGATTCAAATCCCTAACACTACCTATGGTCCCTTGAGCACTGCCAGGAGTGATCCCTGGGCACAGAGCCAGGAAGTAAGCCTTGAGGAATTCCAGGAGTAGCCCACAACCTCCAAAAAAACTGATGACAGAAAATATTCAAAGTAGGGTCTAGGGCAAGAACATATTTTGGCAATCTGGTCTATCTTTCATAGTTTTAAGGCTGTGAGGTGAGGTGAAGATGAACACTAGGAACAATGACCTGAGGTCACTAGACCACTTTTGTGGTACACATGATAACACAAGTGCATACATGTGTTTTAGGAAAAAAATTCAACAGGGGACTCAAGGGGAAAATACTTTTAAAATCCTCAATTAAGAAGTGTTAGGAGCCACAATTCCTCCTTACTCCAAATATTCCATTAGTAAGCTTGTGCTTTGCTTAAATGGCTAATTCCTGAGACAATTAATATAGAATCTATGGATAGGAATGAGTATTTGCATCATGGGTCATAAGCAAATGTGGAATATGGTGATATAAAAGCACCTGAACTTAGGCACCAGTCATTATGTTAGAAAAACTATTTACTTGTGTAGAAAACAAGTGCTCTCTCCAAACAAGAGCTACCAGTAACACCCAAATTCTACTATAACTTAGACACAGCACAAAAGAATATCCTCTTGCCAGAATGTGGACAACTTTATTGATCAAGATGTCCTAATGGAACTTTCAGAACCATTTTTTCCAAATATTTCTCCACTGTTGAAGAAACCAGATTCAGAGACAAATAATCTAAATGTATCTTCATTTCCCCCCGGGCTCCCTTAGCTTCAGAGAAATAACGCACCAATAGAAATATTTGTGTACATACTTACCAGACCCTGTATAGAAGGTACTTGATTAGGTTTTTAATACCTGCTGTGGGATAGATTGCTGGAAATGTGTTAGATGAAATTCTTTTATCATTAAATCAAAGTTTCACTGGGCACCACACTCTTTACTCATCATTTCAAGAGCCAAGCTGGACTCAGAAAGAGTTCAATAAAATAAAATGATGAAAATCAAGTTTTCCCATTCTCCATTCATCACAGTACATTAGCAGCACTGGGTCCACATTTGACCTTGAGTGGTTTACTATGGATCATTCTGGCTGTAATGTACGAATCAGGCAGAACTCAGGGCTTGATTTTCATAATCAACAGTGAGCGCTTGGCTTTGCAGAAATAAGGGCAGTAAAGAAACTTCTGAGAATAAAATGACCACCAGGGTGCTGAAGGACAGCACTTCAGAAATTTCTAGTTGCTTTTGGTTTCCTTTATAATATTTTAGTGGGAGTGCATACTAATTAAATTTCAATTTTTTTTTCTGGACAGGTAATTAGAAGTTAAATATGTTGTCTGGTCACTTTATTACAGTCTACTCTGCTAAAGGGAAAGTTGTCTTGGCATTAGCAGGCCCTCTTTAGCACAAAAGCAAAGCATTCACCTTTATATCTAGTGTGTGAATACCCGACTTCATCGTCTTCTAGTGGTGAGTCTCCAGATCCTACAATAAAAAAGAACAGAATCTACAGCAAGAAAAGCCACATGACATGAATGCATATTTCAAAGCATTGCTTTGGCACAGTGCATGCAAGAGGGGCTATAAGAATGAAGAGCCGAGAGTGAAAGCTTATGTGACCACTTACGAAGGGATGGGGGACCTCTCGGAGTGAAACTGGCCAGGCTAAGATTGTTAGAGCCAATTCAATCAAAATGAGCCTAAGACTGTTTTTGGAACCATCATATGCCAACTGAAATTCTGGACTGGGGATAGAGAAAAAGCCAAGTTCACTCTGAGAAGAGGCCAATGTATATGAATTTCATGCCAGGGGAAATGCAGTAAAATGTGTGACTCAGACAGGGCCCACAGTTTCTACAGCAATCAAAGAGAACCCTGGGTGTTTATGGTACCTGAAAACTGGTTCATTATGTGAAAGGAATTTGGGTGATGGATAATGAGAAAAATCAAAAGTCTATGACAAAAGAAATGCCATGCTATCTTTTGAATTTGTATGAAAAAAGGCGGAAATCAAAGATTTAGATGATAAACCAGAACCTTTCACCAATGCATGACCAAAGTAAAACTGGGCGAAATGAGTCTTGTTATCCTTGAAAACCAGCCTCAGAAAGATTGAATACAATTTTACAATTTAAAATCACTTGGAAATTGGAATGAAATCAGTTTTCTAATATTAACTACTGAATTCCAATGAGGTGAAGAATCCAATCTTTTAAGTTGGAGCAAATCCCATACTTGAAAACTGTAATTTTAAATTTATAGGTTTTTTTCCTCTAGTCTGATCACTGAATTGGCACTATCTTGGTCACACATTTATTTACAGGGACCTGCAACTGTAACAGACAAGGATATTATTATGAGGTTGCTCCTCATACCAGATAAGCAAATGAGTAATGGTCCCTGCTCCACTTGTTTTCTGGAAACAAGACGGTGAGTGTTGAACTTGAAAGTGGGAAAGAGATGAAAACTAAACTGCATCCATTTGGAATGGACCAATCACCTATACCAGTCTTTCATTCTACTTTGCTTAAGATTTCTTCATTTGCTCTCTGGCAACCCAGATAGATGGCACTGTTAATTTTTCTATATCAAAAAATGAACATGAACTAGTATTACTCTTCACAAAAGAAACCTAGCTACATAATCAAAAATCTAGGCCCCAAATCCATGATCTAGTTATTCTACTTCTGGGAATCTTTCCCAAGGAAATAATACTAATATAGAAAAAAAATACATGTACAAATTTTCTTTGTAACAACACATATAATAATAAAAGACTACAGACAAAACAGTTAATTTTAAACCTAAACCTATAGCATATTCATTGGATATAATATATCAATTAAAATATTTATAAAGGTTCTGGAGTGACAGTACAAGGGGTAGGGTGTTTGCCTTGCATTTAGCCGACCCAGGTTCTATTCCCAGCATCTCATATAGTCCCCCAAGCATCGCCAGGAGTAATTCCTGAGTGCAAAGCCAGGAGTAACCTCTGTGCATCGCTAGATGTGACCCAAAAAAGCAAAAAATAATAAAATAAAATATTTATAAAAAGATACAATAATATAGCTAAAGCTTATAATATCAAGTTAAATGTGCTATAACAAAATTACATAAATGGTGTGATTTATAACAATGTTAAAAAAACAAGTCCAAAATTTACAATGCATGAGTCTATAATTTGATTTTTTCTTTCTTCTCTTCTATATTTTATACTATAAAGATGTATTATTTTTATAATGAAAAGTAAACTTTATTTATTGTGTTTGTAACTCAAAGAGGCTTAGTTTCCAAAATGCAATCTGAATGTATTAGAAGTATTTAAGAACCTGCATCCCTCTTTTCTATTCTGTCCCGTCTTCTCTCTATATTTGAATTAGAATTCCACTAAGAATTATTGGCCCCTCCAGGAAGATATAGTACATTTCTAAGCATCAAGAGCTATGTCTTTCCTCATTCCCCTCTTCTCACAATGCTGGCCTTCATATAATCTACAAAGGCAGAGAAAGTCACTGGGCATGTTACTGGTGTGGAGCAATAAAAAAAACTGCCACAGGTTGAGTTCTTTGGGAAGTGGCTTCTGAGTTTATTGCAGAGGATGTTTCTTAGGGATCAACAGCTGTGAAAGAGATCATCAAGAAGAAGGTTTGCATAGAAAGTCCATCTGAGTTGTGATGTCAGCTCAAAGAAAGCTTTTCACATTATGCTGAAAAGGATTGGGAATCCCAGCTTCTCTCGGTCATTGGAGACAGCACACCTTGAGAAGAATATGAATTTGAGCAAAGCAGCCTCAGGAACTAAGGCAATCCCTCAAGCAGCTGTAAATTGATGGATGCTTAAGAACAGCACTGCCTCAGGCTCAGACAACCAATAGTCCCTTAAATAAAGATCTTGCTGGGGATTCTCTATGATCATCATAACAGTCATTGAGAACTAACTTGTGGTGAGTACACTCATGCGGGTAGTGGCGGGGTGAGGGGTTAGAGAAAGGAAGAGCCTCACTTTGCCAGGACAGAAGCTTTCTAAGATCCATTCATCACATATTGTCGCTTATAGTGAAAACGGAATATATGACGCTAAGGGAACAAAACAAATCATTTTTTGTACCTGTAGGCTATTATATAGGCAGTAATCCTATTTGAATTAGGGAAATGTATATGAAACATTGCTAAGCAGAAAAGATAAATACTGAAAGATATACATCTATATATCTTCAGAAATATGAAACTGAATGCATACATAATAGCACTCATATACACATAAAATCTGAAATATGATAAAGTAGGATTACTAACTGTGTACCAAATGTAAGGTCATATATACACTGGATTAATTGGCTATGCATATAAAGAAAAAATGAGTACTATTTTAGTCATATAAAAAGTCTTTCCAGGCAGATTAAAGGTCTATTTTTAAAAGCCCCAATTTAAGAATAAAGCAAACTGTTCACGAGGTAGGGAAAGACTTCTATATAAAATTTAGAAAACATGACCCATAAAGGAAAAAATGCTACAATCAAAAAAATGCTAAAATGTAAAACTTTTGTAGCATGAAAAACATATAAACCTTAAACAAAAGATACAGACTTGGAAAAATATTTGAAATATCACTGTCACTGTCCTCCCGTTATTCATTGATTTTGCTCAAGCGGGCCCAGTAACATTGTGGGACTTGTTACTGTGTTTGGCATATTGAATACGTCACGAGTAGCTTGCCAGGCTTTGCAGTGCAGGCAAGATACTCTTGGTAGCTTGCCAGGCTCTCTGAGAGGGGTGGAGGAATCGAACCCGGGTCGGCTGCATGCAAGGTCCTACCCACTGTGCTATTGCTCCAGCCCATTCGAAATATACTAAATATAAAATGATTATCCAGTATAGACAAAGAAAACTGTTCAACAGGAAAAAAAAGTCATAAGTACTTTTGGGGAAAAATAACCAAAATTTGAAGCAAATAACAGAAAGTATAACTATGAAAGAATCTTTAACCTTACTAGTAACCAGAAACTATATGTCATTAAGATTCATAAAGATATTCACACTCATTAGATTGGGAAAAAACCAAACTGGTAAGGATGCTATGATGAAGAAACCCTCCATTTCTGTTGGTGGAAATACAATTAATACAATTATGTTTGCATGAAACTTGACATTACCCTTCAAAGCAATTAGTCCAGGCTAGAGTGATAGTACTGGGGACAGGGTACTTGCCTTGCATGAGGCAAACCCAGGTTCGATCCCTGATACCATATATGCCCCCCATGTCCTGCCAAAAGTGATATCTGAGTGCAGAGCCAGGAGTAAGCCCTGAGCACCACCAGGTTTGGTCGCCCAAAACAAAATACAACAAATTAACAAAGCAATAATTCAACTTCTGAGATTCCCTCTCTTTCTATGTTTTTGAGTTTTCTTAATTGAAAATATTATTACTTTAAATATTTCAAAAAAACATAGTGAACACCTGTTAAGGACTACCAACAGTGGCTTGTGGTAGCTAACATTTGTGATTCATCCCATACTATTGCAAGTCTTCACATCCCAAAGCTTTGTTGCACTTCTAAAGGTCTGCCACACAAACAAATGCAGGGTCAGCTCTCAGAACCTAGACTTCTGTACCCTAGGTTGAGTTTTATCCACTTCCACATTTGCTTACACACACAAATCCCACAATAAACTTTTCTTTTGGGAACAGTTTGTGGTTTACAGAAAAGTTGAAATGATAGTACAGAGTTCTCATATATTACACACCCAATTTTCTTTGCTATTAACATCTCACATTAATAAGGTACATTCAAGGTCAATATATTACCTTACAGGAATGGTGTATATATTATTGAGAACAACCTATATTATAACATTTTTGTCTTTTGGGCTACACTCAGCAGTGCTCAGGCTTACTCCTGACTCTGTGTTCAGGGACCTTGAACTCGACCTTATTTGCTGCCTTCAGAAGTATCAGAAATCATTTGCATGTGCTGTTAAACTCAAGATTTCAAGCTCTACCCAAGTGTCATTTGAAAGGTGGAAGATTATTTCTTCAGGCTATACAAGACATAAATAGACTCAGTAAGACCACAGAGGTAAGATGATTTATTTAGGTTATAAAAGTCATAAATAGATCCAAAGGAGGTACATGCTGGTATATGTGTGTGTATATGTGTGTGTGTGAGAGAGAGGGGGGTGAATAAGAGAAAGAGAGAGATGTATACGAACTCACACAATGACAGGTATATGTAAAAGGATACGTGAAGCAACTGAAAGAGCTCTTATGGCCAAACTTGGAACAACTTGAGTAATGTAGTAAATTTATTTATAATTTGAGCAATAAAATATTATATTGTCACTGTCACTGTCCTCCCGTTGTTCAGCGATTTGCTCGAGCGGGCCCAATAAAATATTATACTATAACCTATCAAATAAAATAAATGTCAATATATACTGATGTGAAAAATATTGAATGTGTAAATTAATGTAGAAAAGCACACAAATAACCTGTGCAAAATTCCAAATAGATACTGCCTTTAAGGAAGTAGAATATAACTCTCCACCATAGAAGCCTTTTTTTTAAATTTCTTTTTTTTGTATCACTACTTCTTTCCTTTTTTTTAAAATTTTAAAAATTTTTTTAAAAATTTTTATTAGTGAAACACCATGAGGTACAGTTATAGATGTACACATTTTTGTGCTTGGGTTTCAGTTATACAATGATCAAGTACCCATCCCTCCACCACTGATCCCAGTATCCCTCCCCCCTCCCCCTCCCCCATTCCATCCTGCCTCTGTGGCAGGGCATTCCCTTTTGTTCTCTCTCTCCTTTTGGGTGTTGTGGTTTGCAAAAGAGGCATTGAGTGGCAATCATATTCGGTCTATAGTCTACTTTCAGCATGCTTCTTTCATCCTGGGAGGATCCTCCCAACACCTTTTATTTGGTGCTCCCTTCTCTATCTGAGCTACCTTTTCCCCTAGCGTGTGCGGCGGGCCTCCAAGCCATGGAATAAACCTCCTGGCACTTATCTCAGCTATCTCCATAGAAGCCTTTTAAAAAATTACAATGTAGAAATGAGGAAACAAGAATAATTTTGTGATGGGTAAATCTGATAAATTCTACTTTAATCAAATGATCAAAGTCAACAATTATCATTTATGATAGAGGTACAAGAAAACCCCTGATATGACATGGTGAAAATAGCAGTTTACCTCTGTGGTCTTACTCCCTGAAACCCAGTTTAATCATGAAAAAAGCTTTTCAATACATTCCTACTGAAGGACACTCAGTAAAACATGTGACCAGTACTCCTCAAAACTGTCAAGGTCATCAAACACAATGTAAGCCAGAGAAACTGTTGCAGTCAAGACAAGTGTAAGAGGACATGATGACTAAATGTACTGTGGATACTGGGATAAAAAAAAGAGGTAACTGGAGAGATGGTACAGCAGGTAGGGCACTTGCATTGCATGCAGCTAACCTGGGTTCAATCTCCCAGCACCCCATATGGTCACCTGAGCTCTCCCAGGAGTAATACCTGAGCACAGAGCCAGAAGGAGGCTCTGAGAACTACTTGGTGTGATCCCCAATCTTAAAAATAA